TATTCGTGGTATTTACTTTCTTGAGCTAAAAAAAAAAAAAAAAAAGAATTATTCGATGCGATCTATCATGACCTATCGTGACAGCATAGAAGTATCAGAGAAGCACATTTTCCAACGGTGGCTATCTTGTTGTTCGAACGAAACGATTTATTAGTGCAACGACACCGCAGGCGTCCCAATGTGGAGAAATATCGATCGACTCCTTATCAAATTGGCACGGTCGCGATTCTCTTCGAAACGATCTAACGTTATATCGTTTCGACTTTCTTGGATTGTTTCCAAAGCCGATCCATCAGCCTCTTACCGAGACCTCTTATGTAATCGAGTGACAGGGTGGTCGGTTTTTCGAAAATAACGAATGACGCTCAACGTTCCTCGGATAGCACACCTGTTCACCAATACTAAAGAACCGCTGTCGCGAATCGTCATAAGCGCATTGTTGTTCGTGTCGGTGGAAAGGAAATGACCGTCCAAATGAAACATCGATCGCGCGTTTGATCGAAACGTTCGTACACATAAAACCGAGTTTAGATTCGTTGCACTCGATAAAACGCTCGAGGGTTGATCGTTTGATAATTTGGTGGCATGCATGGGAATACTATCGTGAACGCAATGTGTTTATCTAGAACAATATTTCCCAACAATGTTTATGGAGGCACGATCCTCTCTATTAAGATAATCCAATAAAAATTGTAATCAACCTTTCTTACAATTACGCAAAAATGCATTTTTAATTAAATGTTTTTACGTATCCATATTGATTGAAAAATATTTAATAATTGTAATTCGAAATAAAATAAATAATAACGAGAAATTAAGTTGCGACATTTCTTGAAAATGGACATTCGTCGAGTTTGAGAAACACTGATCTAGAATCGTGATCTAGAATCGCGGATACGATTCGTCTTTCGCGTCCGTCACGAATTTTTTCCCCGCATTTAATAACAATCTTTTTCTTTTTCGCGAGATAAAATGTAACGAGGACAAATATATATATATATATATATATATATATTCGAAAACGATTTGAATTTCAATTCGATGCCCTATTTCCCCCTCTCGCAAGAGTGTTCTTTGTCCCGTTCTTTATCCTATTTCTTGGATCAACTTTTCGTCACGAAACTCGAAAAGTTCCGTTTTCGTCCGGATCCGTTCGTGCAGAAGAGGTGCAATTAACAGCGGTCACGTTCGCGAAAAGAAATCGGGAAGGGATGATCGAAGGGACGGAAGCACTGTGGAGCGCCGATTTTTGGCCAAGGGGTGGCCGTGCGAACACCAACCCGCCCAAACGATACGAATAATAAATCGTGCAAGTTTCTGGTGATTAGCCCGATGAAACAGGAGCCAACGTTCGCGGTAAAAATAGCAATTTACCGGCACAAGCCCGTGTCTTAAACTGTCCAATCTTGTTTCGAGTCGAGTTAAAAAACTTTGTTGCCGATATTCGAGACTCGAGTCGGTGATCGTCTCCGAAACGAATCCGTTCTTGATATTCCGTTCGCAAAAAAAGGAAACTGTTCTTACATATCTGCTCTTTAATTCTGCATCCGTCAAGTCTTGAGTTGAAAATTGAGAAAAATGAAATTCTGAACAATTGTGCGAGAAACCGAGCCACGTATAAGAAATGAAAGAAAGGGGTATGAACGTGGGTTACCTGTGGATGTGACCCGAGCATGTATCTTAGCTGCGATGTTTCTGAATGTATCGACCTCCTGTGGCTTGGACACGCAATTTCGGAGCTTCTCCAACAACGCATCGTTTACAGTCTCGTCCGTGCCTTTGCTGCTCGGTGACATCACACTAAACCGACAAATAACCGACAATCAAATTTCAATTATCGGCCAGAGTTAGAGGAGAGTTACGTACGAGCGTGAAAGGTTTTGCTAAGTCAAACAGCACGCCTTTATCTTGGCAAACCGGTGTCGAGCATGCAATCTCGTGCTACCGAAATGCTACGCATAACAAAGGGGGGATCGCACGAGTTGAATGACGTGTATTGTACCGATGATTGGGTGACAAAAAAAAAAAAGAAAATATATATATAGATATACGCGTAAATTTTGCATCGTCGGAAACGAGTGTTGTTAATTTTTCGCTCGATTCGCACGAAATCAAACACAAAAAAAAAGGTAAAATTTATCGTCATCCTTGTTACATCTGTTGGTGCGAAAAAACACAAAAATCACGATTCAATTTTTCACACTTGAACGGAAAAAGAATTAGGAAAAGGAAAAGATAGTACGCGAGAAACGTAGCGTCATTCACAATCGGGTATCATCAATCGACTGTCCATTGGCATTGCGCCAATTTTGCGCGGTGCGTAATGCGCATTAATCTCCTTTCACATTCAGTTGGTCACGACACTGTTACCCAATGTCGTAGAAATGAAAATCGAACGTCGCCTCGAATTCAAGGTTAATTAACACGGCCAAAAAAGCAAACGGTACTCGAAATAAACGGCGCGTGGATCATGGTGGAAAACAATCGCGCGAGCTCGATCGATATTGTCGTAGACGATCAGCCACGATCACGATTGATTCCACTTCCTCTCGATCTTTCCATTCGATATATCTTCGATAGCACGATCTCTTGCTCTTATTCTACTCTATCTCTTATCGTTCTTCCTTCTCGTTAATTGCAAGTTTCGTTTCGTCTAGAATCAATTGTCTACCGAGTTCGAAAGTGTCAGCTATTCGAGGCGTTAAATTTAAATCGATCGATAAGAAGATAAAATCTTGGTACGGACAGAAAGAAATTTATTTTTAGAAGATCATTGTGGAATTAGCAGGATTTTTATCGTTCTATGAAGCGACGACAATTAAAGCTTATTATTAAAAGTGTAGGCGATCGAATGATCGTAATGATAATCGTTTAAAATTTAGAAGGAGAGATTTCCAATCGCCTACACCCTTTTCACGGCAACTACAAGTCGTCCACGTTCTAAAAACACATTACAGAGCGCAATTAAAATTTATTATCCTCGATTCAATTGTCGAGATCTGACAATTTCATCGGAACATTCCGCAACAACGCGTTTATTGTTTATTTGGCAGGAATATAGCTCTCGGTGCCAATGCGAATTTTGCAGTTATCTTTCCAATTTCTCCGCCAAATAACAATGACCAATTGTACTTTGCGAGATCCGATATCGAGTTACTTCTTCTTTCCTTCAAAAAAGAAATATCGAAAAGAAAAGAATCGATCGCTAAGCCATTGAATCCTATGAAATGGTGTAACGTGTATATGTACAAAGTGGAATCGAAAGTTATATACAACCGATATTACTTAAATTTTTGTCTAATATATCTTTTAAAGACGATATCGAGAGTATTATTTATTTATGAAGAAAATATTCGTTCATTAAAATGAAACAAAAAAATACAGAAGCAAAATTTTTGTTTGCTATTAATAAATTTCTAATAGCAAAGAAAAAGTTTCGATTATTCAATCTCCTCAAAAATTAAGCTTCCCGATGAAAAAATTCTTGTTCCTCC